AATACCAGATACCAAACCATCTGATGTGGTACAGGTGAGCTCTTATTTTGTTTTGGATGGCAATTTTGATTCATAATATCAATATCCTGCATACTATGTCGTTGCCGATCATTGATTTTTTTTACTCCCTTTTTTGTATCTTTCCAGGAAAGTGTTGGCAATAAAGAGGACAAGGTGCTGATTAAAAAACCAATGCCATTGACTGGACAATCTATGGTAACAGGTATCGTGACAACAGGACCTGAAAACAGAAACTGCCAATTTACTGGAGTTAGTGGTAATAATGTAAATAAGAATGTCGTCATACCAAAGATACCACCAGCATTGTCCATTCCAGTACAAGCATCAAAGCAAGAAATGTCTCCTTTGTCTTTTTGTGGTGCAACTACTGTGACTCCATCACTATCTACTACTTCTTCAGCAATGCCTATTAAGGATCTTAATGTAATAACTTCTAACAGCCCTGTGTTAGGACCTGGGATTGAGAAGGGAGTGGCAGCAATTGCTGTGTCTGTGCCGGGTAGTTTGGGCAAGGTGATGCCATCTGTAAAGAGTACAGGACAATGTGTTCCCATGAAGACTGGTGTAAAACACACACTGCCAGTGGCTTCTAAAGTACCAACACAACAAGGCACAATAAGTACCCCAAAGTTAGCCACCCATTCCTTAAACAGCAATAAAGTTACTTCAAGTCCATCTCTACGTGCCATAGCACCGCAGCCAAGACCAGCTATTCTTCCTGCATCTTTACAACCAGGTTCTAAAACAAGTCCTCAGGGTGCCACACAGATTACAATACCAATAGTACAAGGTAATGTAATGCAAGGGACTAATGTATTAAAGCTTACTACTCCAGTGTCTGTCAATCCCGGTACTCCAGTCAGTAACATAGCAGCACTTGTTGCCAGCCTTCCTGCAAATATGGTTTCTCCTGGCCAGACACAGCTGATCAGATTTGTTACTCCAGCTGGTGCAACCATAACAGTACAAGGTACTATACAAACACATCCAACAGGAAAAACAGGAAATTCCCCTGGAGGGCCCTCTGGAACAGCAACAATCAGTCTTCCTAAAAGTATTGCCACCAATCAGCTCTTGCTAAGCTCACAAAACACCAAACCTGTTCCAGTGGCACCAAAAACTGTAGGTACAAGCACAATCCATAAAACTGTGTCTCTGGCCCGCCCTCAGCAGCCTTCAGTCACCAAAATGCAAAATAAAACACTGGATCAAAAAGAGAAGTACCCAGTACTTGAACCAGTGATAAAAGATCCACGCAAACTACTAGACCGACAGATTTCCAAATGGAGACAAAATCGATATTCAATGAAAAGTGTGTACCAACTTCAAAGACATAGAAGGAGGGTTTTTGGAAGGCGTGCTGGGATGAAAGAGGTACCAGATTTTATGTACGTTACCCGTGGTTCAGGGGTGAATTGGCCAGCTGGGTTTCCGCGCCCTAGTTTCAAGGTGGCCTGGAGGTACCGAAGTCAAAGTCTAAGGACGTTGGCAGGTGCAGGTTTACAAGCAAGAATATTACACGCTTGTTTGAAATGGGAAGATATTAATATCAGGCCTCCAAGATCTAACAGTTCTACAATATGCACCAGTACAGGTCAGTTACTCAATAATAATAATAATGATGATGATGATGATGAT